CAGGGAGAAGTGTGACTCTGTGTGTGTGTGTGTGTGTGTGTGTGTGTGTGTGTGTGAGAGAGAGAGAGAGAGAGAGAGAGAGTCAGAGAGAGTCAGAGAGAGTCAGAGATTTTCTGAGTTCCTGAAATGGAAAAATGTTTAAAGAGAGAGAAATGAGATTTGGCCCCATCACTTGTGCGAACTGACACACTTAACCACTGAAAAGCCATCACAGACAATATGTCGAATCACAGGCTTTCCCCAAGTAAAAATAAGACAAAATATGTAAAATGACAGATAATAGTGAAAGTATTTTAGTAAGTTGGGGAGGCAGCATAGTGTTGTTCTGCATGGGTTCAAATCCCAATTCCACCTCAGTGAGACCTTGAACAAGCTAATAATCATACCTAATTCATAGAGTTTTCATGAAGATTATATGAGACAATATAGGTAAAGCCCAGAGTGGATAATTCTGTATATACTCAGTAATTATGGCTATTTCTATTGTTTCCAAGGGTGATATCACCTGTGGCACTTTTCTATTTTATTTTCTATGCGGTCCATGTCTAGAAAATAAAAAAATCTATCTCCCAAATCTATCATTTCTAGCTCAGACCTCTCGAGATCTAGACCATTTTTTTTTTTAAGGAAAAGACTCTGAGATATAGTGAGAATGAAGCTGCAATAATCTGCTACAGAGTTAAGCTTCTGCAGAGGAGATGGATCCAAAACTTTGGGGATTTCTTCAAAATATACAAACGGAAGCAGCCCCAGTGAACACTGTCTGACCAAAGCAAAAGTGGGGGCTTGCCACCTATAAGGAAGACGACACATACTTAGGCATTAAATATCTTTAGAACCTGTTCCTTTTGATATCATTTAGGGGATAGGGCAAACAGTGATTTTGTTTTGAACTAGGGTTTTTTCAACTATTAATAAATGTCCTCTGGGCACTGGGAGTACCCTGGAGAGTTGTATTCCCTGTCCTCATCGAACCAAGGAAGTTTAGGAAAGAAGTCAATTATGGTAAAGCATGATCAAGGACCATGGGACAGAGGAAATCCGGTGTTCTCCGGGAGTGCTCCTAAGCCTGCCTAAAGGCTGGGAGGAAAGAGCAAGCCTGCCCCTGGTGAGGCATAAAATCTTTGGAGGCGGCTGCAGCATAGACTGTAAGGCAGAAAAAGAGAGGGGAAGTTGAGAAATGAGCAGAGAACCTGGCGAGCACCCGAAATAAAGAGGCTGGACTTTCACTATTGGCACCTGAGGGTAGTCATTGGTTTAAACAGAGGTATGCCATAACTGTTTTCTCACACTTGAAGGGTTATGCTCCCTGCAGGATAGAGAAGGGAGGCAGGGTACAAATTAAGGGGGCACTGGGAAGGGATTGCTGCTGGGATAGGACCAGAGGTTAGACTGTATGTGATAGAAGTCCTAAGACTTGCAGATTGATTTTCATGGGGTGAGAGTGAGAAAGAGTGGGGAAAGGGCAGCTCCTAGATTCTGCCTTGGGAGATGGAGGTGAGATGCCGCTCATTGAGGTACGGGCACTGGGCAGAGAAGAGCTGGAGAGAAGGGACACAAAAGCCAGTTGGCCAGTTATGTCCTTTGTGCCTGAAGCACTTGCCAAAAATTCAAGTAGAAATGCTTAGAAGGCAGGTATACATTTGGGCCTTGATATTTGCTGAGCCTGACTGTGTACTTAGGACATGCCCACTGCAGGGCCCTGAGCTTGGAGGGGACAGTAGGCAGACAGACATGGCCCAGAGGAGGGACCAGAGTGAGTGCTCTCAGGAACCTGGTCGGAATCTTCAGGAGACCAGCCTGACGGTGAAACTGTGGCCGCACCATGGAGACAGGCTGAGCAGTAGATTGCAAGGAGCTCTTTGCTAACCAGCCAAACTGCATCGACAAGCCCAGGGGTTGTTTAAACCAACAAATGAGACTTCCTGGTGAAGCCTGTGATTTCACCTTTGGAAGCCCTATCCTTGCCTTAGACAATGGCCTTCGCCTGCCTGCTGTCTTTTGTATATTCTGAACAAATCCCAATGTTTTTAATCACTTTTCTCTGCAGCTTGACTCTGCAGTGGATCTTTGCAGCTAAACTTTCCCCATGCCTCAGTCTTTTTTTTTAAATGGCCTAAATATTAAGAAAGAGGCCTGAGCTAGAAATATATTGGGAGTCAAGTGGGCTGCAGCACAGGAAGTAAAATAGGAAAATGCCCCAGGTGGTATTACCCTTACAGATTAACAATGTATCTAACCATCTAAGTGGTTCTGAGAAATCACTGAAGAAAAAAAATTTTGTTTAACTTTATTTAACCCAGCCTGTCTAAATCATTTGACCCTGAAATGTTTTTTCCCCAAATAATCACTTTAAATCCCACAGAGCTAGTGTTGTGTAGAAAGCTCTGATAAATGGTAGTGTAGGCATGTTGCACAAAATTTACTGATATTCTTATGTGTATAAATACTTACATTTTATAACAAAAATAATATCAATGATATTTCTGTTAACTCCTTGTCTCACTACTACTCACTACTAAATGACTTGTAAACCAAATTACTACTACTGACTTCCCCAGCAGAGGAGCTGCAGTTGTAAGCCTGTTATTGGGAGGAACCAGCCTCCTTTAGAGAAGTATGTTTGTAAATGCGAAGGACAGCAGGCACTCTGAGGACCTGATGAAAGTTGTATATCATATCCCTAGGGACACAACTGCTTATTTTAATCTACCACACACAATCAAGAGATTCACAGACACTAAATCTCAGGTGATGAATTCCTGCTCGAAAGGCACAGGAAACAATTCAAACCTGTTTCATGATGTCCAAAGCACTAGTGCTCTTGAAATCAAAAGTCCCATGCGTCTGGAGCCCGTGTGAATTACACCTGTTGGTCAACAGCAGGAGACAGTAGCTCCACGGCCAACTGCCTTCTAGAGTCCAGGTTTGCCTGCAGCTCTGCAGCCGGCATGGGCTTCCCAGCCAAATTCTATTGTTTTATTTACCACATTGTTTGAAACTGTTCTGTAATGAATCATTGTAGATTTTCTTTTGAAATTCATGCTTTCAATTATCCTATTTGAACTCCTTATCAAGTAATAGTGAAGGACTTTGAGGACCTAAAGTGTTGATAGGAGAAAGAACACTAAACTGACAGATTGATCACCAGGAATTTTTCCCAGCTCCAACATTAACAAGCTGCACAGTCCTGGAAAAGTCACTCTATTTCTGCAGGCTTCAGATTTCTCAGTTATGGAATGAGTACAATACTTGCTGACCTTTGTGTTTCACAGTGTTACTGTGACAAACCAACACGATAATGGCCATAAAAAAACGTTGGAAACTATGAGGTTACATGTAAATGTGAGAGAGGGTGATGAGGATGAGGCTGGACACATCTACAACTCTCATGAATAAGACTCATAGTTACTTATTCAGTAAGAGTAGTTGTTGGTTCTCATTTTGTTATGAGTCATCACCACTTGGGCAATGCATTTGAAGACAGCTTGAGTCAAAATCTCCCCTGGAAGGTATCTGGCATAAGGTCACCATCTATTTTATAGTGTTGCCACTAGGTTGTTGCTATTTAGTGTTGTGCTATGATCCACAGTTGAATTATTTCCCACAACTCTTGCTTTCTAAATTCAAGTAAATCAATTTTTTAAAAATATCTTATTTGAATAAGTGCTTTATCATTTGGAATTTATTTTACTCATGACACTTCCTCATTACTTGCATTAAAAGCATAGTCATTATCAGATAAGAAACATTCACACTGCTAGTTACCTTCCTGAGTATATAAAAAGTAATAATGTCAGTTTCCCCTAGATTCTAGCCTTCCTTCAGAAGTTGCATGCCTGTCTTCCTGTTCAGTCTCCACAGCTCTCTCAGGAGCTATGTCTGAGATAGGTATGAACACATTTATGTACAAATTGTGTCAGGGACTCAGAGTCCATTTCCCACATTATTACCAAACTGCAGTGGCATCCAACAGTTAGGAAGAACAGAAAGCAAACATTTCCATCTCTGCTTCAAAACCTCACATGACTACTTGGGGATAAAATTGAATGTATTTGAAAACCTTAAAATAAAACTTTTACACAAAGCAAAGTTTAGTGTAACATAATTTTTGTGGTATATAAGCCATATCGAGGAGCCTACCTTAAAAAAAGTATATGCTAAAGAATTCAAATGGAGAAGACTACATTTAAAAATAGAAATTTGGGACTGTGACTAGATTCAGTTAATCCATTCATTTTACTTATATTATCTACAATAATTTACAAATAAATGCATAACCACTGAACATAGGGGTGTTAAAAAATTAAATAACAAACATGGTCCCTTTCTACATGGCATTTATAATTGAGTGGAAGGAAAATAAAAAAGAAAACAAAATAATACGTAATTATACCTTGTAAGGAATTCAATGAAGGGTATAGCGAAAGAAAAATGGAAGTTGAGGGGCCCTCTTTGATTGGATGTCCAGAGAAGGCCTATCTGAGGACATGACAAGCTCAGAGCTGAAGAGATGTGTAGGCAGAGAGAAGAGTGGCTGCAGGAGTGTAAAGGCAAGAAGAGCCGGGCATTCCGAGGAGCTCTGGAAAGACCCCTGTTGGAGTCCAGCCAGCGGAGGAGGGAGAGACAGTGCTAGATCAGGGTGCTCAAACATTGTTAGGCCTGGCAAAACATTACATTTCAATCTAAATGCAAAGGAAAGCTGTTGAAAGATTTTAAGCAGAAAAGCTAGTGGATCCAATTAACTATTTAAAGGCAAGAGAGGAAAAGAGAAACATTAGCTTATGAGTGGCTACTACAGTAGGCCAGAAATGCTGGCTGTCTGGACTGCGATGGTAGCAGTGGAGGAGGAGAGAAGTGGTAGAAAGGACTGGGAGGTAGATGGGACACTGGGGATGAGGCAGTGGGAGAATCAAGGATAACCCCACAGTGTCTGGCTTGAGCAAGTGGACAGGGGGCATCTAAGTACCAGATCCTGTTCAAGATGAAAGATGACTCACCAGCCGCCCAAGCATCATGCTCTGCCTTGGGCTGTACGAATGGGTGCACTACTTTAATGTCACCAGGTGGTGCAAATGATGAGTTGAGGTTGATTCGAACCATATTCTTCCCTGTGTGTTTGTTAGCTATCCAAATTGTCTTCTTTCTCCATGTAGAATAGAAGATATGGTCACCAAAAAGGGACATTGCAAACAAATTGTGCCTAAAAAACAAGAGGAAAAAAACCCCTAAAATATGGCAGAATATTTCTTCCTGGACTTATTAGAGTTTCACTTCATTTCAGTTTATTAGCTGAATTTAATTACCTATGTTTTCAATTTTTTAGGTTTAGAAACAAGTACTAAGTTTAACATTTTATTTATATAGTCAAAATCTGAAGTAATAGGATATTATTTCTAGCTCCAGATTCATTGTCTCATTCTTTTGCTATTCAGCACATAAGTGTGATAGAAATAAAATAGAGAAGAAAATAGGAACAGAACAAGACTTGTGGTTTTGTCCATTTCACAGGACTAATTTCTGCCTCTTGCCAAAAGCTGGAGAATTGGTTACTGGCAAGGTAACAAATCAAACATGTATGACCTCACACATGCATGACATCATAATTCCAGAAAGATTAACTATAACCAGCATGTGAAAACTTAGTATATGCCAAATACTCTGTTAATTATTTTTGTTTATTTACTAAATTTCACAATAACCCCAAGAAATAGGTACTATTATTATGCCCATATTAAAGGAAACTGCAGATAAGAGAAGTCATGTATCCTGCCCAAAGTGACTTTTGTAATAAATGGTAAGTCTGGGGCTTGAACTCTAGACTCCAAAATCTGTACTAAACGGCTATATTGGTTTAACTAGCAAAAGTGCAATTAACCTATCATACAAACTTCAAATGGCAATGGTTTTATTTTACAGCAAAAACAAAACTTACTGTGTAAGATGTTTGCTGAAATGGACAGAACCTCCATCATAATCACAGGAACAAATACGAGAATTGCTTCCCTCTCTGTTGTGCTGAATCCAAAAGAGCCGTTTATCAAGCACGTCCAGCGACATGGCTGTTATTTTCTCTGACGTCTCCAACAGCATCTTCACTTCAGTACCATTGAGATCTGCTCTGTGAAGGCTGCCGGCCACCTCTGAAGACCAAAATATAAACCTGTGGGCGAACCCAGTAATTAGACACACAACTGAATGTAAGGTCACTTGAATTGCCAACTCTCTGTGTTTTAGCAGTCCCCAGATGTCTGCACAGGACAAGTTTGACTAGTTTGAATGAAAAATCAATTCAACAAATGTTTATTGCCCTATTATAGATTTTCCATGTGATTTCAAGTGAGAGGAGAATTTTGCTTCTACAGCAGGAAGCCATGGCAGTCAGGGGTGCTATTTGTAGAGGGAGCCTGCCGTGGTTCAAATCCAGGCAAACACCATTTCCAATTACCTATTGTAAATGGTGTTTTTGTACTATAAATGAGGGCCTTGGTCTCAATGAGAAGGTCCCTTTAAGTCAAATGTTGTGATTCTATGAATTTTCATCTGAAAACAGCAGAATTTACCTTTCTACTGGATCAACCGCTACATTTGCAGGATATTTTAAGGTGCTTAAAAGAACACGGGAATTGTTTCCTTTCATATCTGTTACTGTAATGATTCCTTCCTGTTGATTTGACCAAATAAGTTCTTCATTTATCCAATTTATTGCCATTCCTGAAACATTTTTCTCTATATTGCATACTTTCTGTAAAAATCAAATTTCAAAATTGTTATTAACATTTCCCCATTCACAACAAAATTATTTCTATAAAAGCCTATTCTTTTAAGCACTTGTCATTCTTGCACATTCCCAAAACTAATTTAATGGTAAGACAATCACAGCCACAGTGCTGTGATTATTTGTTTGGATGCAGCAGTGTGGACCCTCCCATGTGAAGACTTCTGGGCATGGAACTAATAGTGTGGCTTTGAAATGGAAAATTATTCTGTACTTACTAAAATTAGGAAACCAATCATAACGCACTAATAATTTCAACTATAGTAACAGTGGAATTTCGATGCTACCTTAAAGATTGTTTATTCAGTTCCACTTGCTAATGGAATTTTCCAGATTCTCACCCGAATCCAATTCCAAGCTTTACCAAATTCTGGCAAGGTTCCCTTGGAGCCTGTGTGCAGAGCTCTGACGTAGATGAATTTCTCATTAGGGCCCCACTTTTCTTCTGTCCCCTCTTTTTCCATCAGGCCCCTCCCTTTCTACAATCCCTAGTGCCCTTGCACATGACCCTATGACCCAAAGAGCAAGGTTTCTCTTTATTTCTCTTGGGCAGTCTTTCTCGCTTTTTCATTTGAAAGCCATCCAACAAAAACCTCTGTTATCTCCTAATTCCATGGTATACAGGTAAACCAGTCTATTTTGGGGGAGGAGGGTAGGAGGTGGGGCAAAGCCTCATCAGTTGCAGGTGTCCACAATGTAAATATTCCCACCACTGCTGATTTCCAGCTACTGACCTGACCACACTGAATGTGTCTGGGTAGAGATCTGACATTCTTATGAGCCTATACTATGCCTACATCTCAAACAGAGCAATCTGGTCAGTCCATTTAACCAATTGCTAATATATTAATATATAGTTCACCTAAGTAAATTGTTTACATTTTAATGGTTGTCCTTTATAAACAAGGTTTTAACCCAAAGGTGGGAATATCACAGTGGATTTTAGGCATTGGGCCAATCCCTTCCCAATGGCTTGACATAAATTCACAACTATTTAAATTCTTTTCCTATTCTGTGATAGGAAACACTCCACATTCTTAGACTTAAGATTTTGAAACAATTCTACAGATGGCTGGAAAATAATGAGCAGCCATGCTTGTTGAAAGTGAGATTAGCAAGTATTAAAGATGTGATAAAACAGATTAGCACCTAATTGAAGCTTTTAGGGATAATTGAAAAGAGAAGGTTTAGTTTTTAAAAAACCCACAAAAACAGTGGGCACTTTGTGCTGGGAACAAATGCTTAAGGTTTCTCAAATCACACGCTCTTTGTAATCTATCCCCCAGGAATAGAAAGAACATTCCTCCTGGGACTTATTTAAGTGTTCTACCAGTTCAAAAGAAAGATTAAAGATCTTTTATATGTACTTGAAGCAAAATACTTTATATCTATCTGCTTTATTTTTTCCAGAGTGCAAACACCTTGAGAATACAAAGAAAAAAGTTTTCTTCCTAAATATCAGGCGCCCAAACTCCAACAGACACCCTAGATAGGTAAAGCAGGCTTTCTCTGCCTCGGCATGGTTGGCACTGGGAGCTGGATAATTCTTTGTCGTGGGGACTGTCCTGCATACGGTGGGGTATGCAGCATCATCCCTGGCCTCTGCCCACTAGATGCCGTAGCACATCTCCCTCCCCCCCGTCCAGCTGTGACAGCCAGACATGTTGCCAGACATTGCCAAATAGCCCCCAAGGGGCAAAATGTTTCCCAACCGATAACCATGGGAATAAAAAATAGTCATGTAATTAATCTGCTTTAACCATAAAATGGTGATCCGACTTAATAAACTGACATATTTCCAAAATTACATTGACATCCCCACTTTCTAGTTTTGGTAACTTCTGAATAACATTAGCATATTCATGGGCTTAATAACAAGTTACAGATGCAGATTAAATAAATACCTACAAATGCTATACACACATTCAAATTATAATGTAATTTTTATTTATCTATATGTCATTAACTATACCATGTTTGTCGGTTTATACAAAAGTCCTTCAAATACTGTGGGAATTGGTACTTTACCTCTTGCCTTGTCCCATTCAGAAAAACTCTTTGCAAAAGTTGTTTTTCTAGATCTACCCAATAGAGTCTTTCTTTGTTGTAATGAAAATCCATGATCACTGAAACGCCAGCATCTGTCACCAATTTGTCATGATTGGTTCCTTCCAGGTCAATTCTGAAGATACTATTTCCATGAGAAAAAATTAAGAAGGGTGCAGGACCTGAGTGGGAAGAAAGAAACTAAACTGTGTATTTTTAATGATATTTTATTTGATTCAGACAAAATACTTCCCCATGACAACTAACACAAGTATTATTAATTTTTAATTCTTGGTTTTATATTTTAAATAAAGACTACCATACGGAGAATAAAGAGTTTCTATACATGTTCACAATTAACTTTGTAAATTATCTTCTCCACAAATTGATTGTAAAAAAATGAACATTGCCAAATTATGAAAAAAGAACTATATGAAGAGAAAAACACTTTCTTCTCTTGTCTATAAAATGGTGTTTTATGTTTAAAAAGAAACCTACAGTATTCTACTGTGGAAATGGTCTATATGAATGTACGTTTTCATTACTTAGGTTAGAAATATCACAGATATTATCGTTTTTGAAATGCGCTCCCCCCTTGACTATCACTCGGGAACAGAGCCTTCAGGACAATGACGGGGAAGAGGACGGTGAAAACTAGCGGTCTTCAGTGGGAGCGGAAAGACTGAAGTGCTGCCCTGGGAAAGCTCTGAGCTATTGTGTCCCTGTTAGCACTGCCATAAAACACAGGGTGCTCAGTTAAATTTGCATTGTGTATACATTGCATGGGACATATTTATACTAAAAAACTATTCACTTTACCTGAAATTCAAATTTAACTAAGTGCCCTGTATTTTTATTTGCTAGATCTGAGTGGAGCACCTCATTTGATCCTTGATTCCTGCAGGGCCTTGTCATGCTCCCTAACCTGATGCCTGGGGTCCTGTCCTATTTCAGGTGGTAGCCACGTGCCCACTCTGACTCCCAAGTACTTAACACCTGTATGAGAACCTGACACCTCTCTTTGGAAACTTCAGCATAAATTACTGGCTGACTCCACAGAAAGCTTGCCTTTGCTACTCCAGGAGGCTGCCAGGGAACTGTCCTACCCCCTATAGCCAGGTTAGTTTCCTTGGTCTCTTCTGTCTGAGGGTGAGGAGATTCCTGCCACTCTGCCTTCAGACAGTTATGGAATCACTAGGATGAGCGGGGGACTGGGGACAATTCTAACATATTCTTGCTTCCCTGCCAGGCATACTCCATTCTGTTTTCACATTAGACTTTAGTAAATTTATATAACATAATACATGTATTTACTATTCTAAGTATTAAACAAGATGATGGATTAACAACATTTTACTAAGGGATTGTGTCCTACAGTAAGAAAATATTAACTCCATTTTAGAGGACATGTCAGAATAGAGACACAAGAAGAAGAAAGAAATGGAAAATTATTAGAGTTTGAAATAGGTGCTGGCATAAATGTCTAAGAGAATTAGCTCAAATCACTCTTGACGTATCTTTCCCCTAACACAAACACCCTGCACGGATGTGTGGGAGAGCCTGTTCCACACTGCCACCCCAGTTGTGGAATCAGAGGAATCACAGAGGAAATGGAAGGCATTGCACTGAGAGCCAGCAGGCTGGTTTCCAGCCCTGGCCCCATTAGCTCCTCTGGGCATCTCACAAGACCCCCTGCCTACATCATGGGATTACTGGGGAAACAAATAAAATTACAGGTGTGAAAATGTATCATTAATTGTGGAGCACTATGCAAATGTGATTCGTTATTGCTTATTCCCACAGCCAAGTTCTCACTACTTAGGTTTGTGCCATGGTTGAGGTTTGAACCCATGGACTAGAATGTCAGCATAGCTCCTCTCTCCCATAGCAATGTGTCATGGAGAAAGGAAAGGCAGCAAGAAAGGCACCCTTGACCAAGACCTAATTTGTAGGCCACAGATTGCTGTGGAGTCCTCTCTCTGAAATGTGTTTCAGGCATTCTCTGTAAACTAAATAAATGTTCCCAACATATATTAATAATTTCCTAATACGTTGGTACATTGTTGAGAGCAAGAAAATATTTCATGCATTTAAAACTATAAATGAGAAATTTCTGGGTTAAAAAGAAAAAAGAGAAAGGGCCCTGGCTGGTGTAGCTCAGTGGATTGAGTGCCGGCTGTGAATCAAAGGGTCACCAGTTCCACTCCCAGTCAGGGTTCATGCCTGGGTTGCAAACCAGGTCCCCCCAAGTGGGGGACACATGAGAGGCAACCACACATTAATATTTCTCTCCCTCTCTTTCTCTTTCCTATCCTCTCTCTCTAAAAATAAATAAGATCTTTTAGAAAATAAAAAATAAAATAAAATTTTAAAAAGAGAGAGGAAACATCTGAACATTTAGTCAGAACATAGTGTAATGCTTTGTATATAATAGGCACTCAAATTTTTTAAATAAACATATTAACTAATGAAGAAATAATTGTAATTTGTCTATTTGCCTGGGCTTTTACCAATAGGAACAAAGCCAAAAACACCAGCAGATCTAGCAAATTCATAAAAGTTCAGAGTTTATCCTATGGTAGTTATTTTACCACCACCACCAACAACAACGACAGAGTTTCATCTACTGGCCTCACTTATCTCCACTATAACCCCAGGAGCTGAAAAGGCCAGATTTGACCGCCAGTAAGTAAAACAGAGAAGAGAAATATGAAGAATACTTAGAGCCATAAAACACAAACCATAGCATTAACTTCAGTAACTTCTCAAAAAAACAAATGAACATTTATAAAACATTAACAAATACGAATTAACAAGTTTTATCCTCAGATTTTTCCTATTCACTGTGAATCACAGCCTCCAGGCTTTATCATAGCCTCTTAGGATGGCCCTGGTATCACCTGGTTCAGTCTTTCCCCAGACTGTCTCCTCAGAGGAGCCCCACAGGGCACCGGGAGTGTGTCTTTCCCTGGTCCCTTCCCCTGAGAGTCCACTTCAGTGTGTCTGGGCTGAGGGCTAAGAATCTATTCTTATGAATAGACACACCAGGCGATTCTCACACGTTGGTGAATTTGGAAATCATCATTGACCTAGTTTGGATGAGAAAATTTAATAATGTTTCCCAAAGTCCCACTGCTAGTTAGTGGTACAGTTGAAATTGGATGTTGGGAACCACCCTGCTTGGTATCAGAAGCTGTAACCCCCGCCTAGGCTAAGGCTGAGGGAGTGGCCTTGGACCGTAAACCAGCAGGGAGACAAAAGCTTATCTCCCTGGCAGGAACGCTGCTTCTGCTGCTTCATTCATAACTGAACCCCAATGCTTGGTCGGTTAGCCAAAGACAGGTAAGATTCCCCAAGGGGGGAACAATCTAAGACAGGCACGATCACATGGGAGGCCCCCAAGAAAGGACTTTGGGGGCTACAGCAAAAGGGGGTGATGGACCCTTGCTCCTTGGCTGTGATATAGCCTGAGTCCTCTGTGTCTGGGAGAAAATCTCCTTATCCCTTGGCTGCCTTAATTTCCTTGCTCCACTTAAGCCTGAAACAATGGCAGGGTGGTGCAGCTCTGTGCTGAAAAGGGCGGATTCCCTGGGTGATCAGGCCTAATAAAGAATATGTAAATTCCTGTGAAACCTGCTTTGTTTAGAATGCTCTCAGGTGAATGATAAAGGTCCAAGGAAGAAGTAAGTTTGTTTTTTAAAGTTTTATAGCTCTTTGACCCTGACTCAAAACGGGCCCTCAGACTTCCTTGCTATCTATTGTTTGATCCTTACTTCCTAGCAATAAGTAATGAGCTTTTACCTGAATTCTTATTCAAACGAAACCAATAAAAAGCCTCTCTTGAGGGGGAACAAGGCGCTCTCCCCACCAGAGAGAGTGGCCATTCTGCTCCTACTCCCCCACAGGACCTGGTTGCCTCTGTGTATGTTTTTCTCACATGTTTCGACGAACGTCCGCAGCCAAGATGGATACTGCTGGCCGGTATCCTCCACAGTTGGAACCCAGGTACCAGGCTTCAATCCAGTACTCTTTCCTGCTTAGGTCTGACTTGTCCTATGTCAAGATGTTACCATCTTCATTATATTTATGTAACTGATTTTAATTCCACTTCCCTCAAAACACTGTTCATTTTTCCTACACTCTCTGCATCTTTTTATGTAAACCAGGGCCTGGGCTGAGCATCACTATTTGTAGACATGAAATGTAATATGACCTAACAGAAAATGAGAGACTGTGAATTAAGCTTGGTGACATAACCACTATTCTGTACCACCACTGGAAACGATAAATAAGTTAGCATTTTATCAAACCTGTCGAAGACTATAAACAACGGCATGTGGTAAGTGTGGGGATCTGAATGTCAGCAGGGTGTGAATGTTTGAACAGCTAAACTTTCCCACATCAAAACTTGTGGCATTTATTTTTAGTGCAATTCAGCGAGAGGAAAGTGCATAAAAAAAACATCATTTCTAAGGACTACAACCCCAAAGACAGCTAACAGGTCACAAGAAACCAACTGGAACCTCCAACTTCTCAACCTGGGGATTAGGAGGGGATCTTCAGCAGTTACACAGGAGCCCAGAATGTTCAAAGCCTAGTAAGGATTTTTATTAGTGACTACCAAGAACCAGGACCTCCATGGCTCAAAGTTCAGTTACAAAAAAGCAGGCTTTGACTGAAGTGGGTGGCAGACAGAGGCTATTTCACAATGAGCCCTTTGTCATCTGCTCTTGAGTCTGTGGGAGTGGCTCCACACAAGTCAGTGGGAAAAGAAAAGGACTGTCTTCTGCAGGCCTTGGGGCAAAGGCTATGGGAACTAGCTAATACATAACTGATGCTGACAACCTGATTAACGAGAAACCTTAGTCTTCTCCCGGGCCCACTCTGCCACCTACCCTCACCAGCACAGGTTCCTGCTCTAAATCTGCAGACAGACTGAAGGCTCACAGAACAAAGAGTGAAAAGGGAGCTCTGACCCAAGCCGGGTGGCCCAGTTGGTCAGAGCGTCATCCTGGACACCAAAGGGTTGTGGGTTTGATTCCTGGTCAGGCCACATGCCTAGGTTGTGGGTTGTGTCTCTTGTCGGGGCATGTAAGGGAGGCAACTGAGGATGTTTCTCTTTCACCTCTCTCTCTAAAATCAATAAACATATTCTCAGTGAGGATTTTAAAAAATTAAAAAG